CCATGCAGATTACGGACCTCTGTTCCCTGCATTCTGGGTCAATGTCCCTGTAACCTACATTTGTCCGGTTTGAATTTGAATTTGCCCCCGAACTGACTCCAATTTACACGTTGCCCATCTCTGGAAACCCTAAACCCACTTTGCATCCCTGGTTTTCTCGATTAATCGATTACTGAGGGATGGCGACATAACAACCAAACTAGCGTTTCGGATGCTTGTTTCTCCGAAACGCTAGTAAAATATGGAAGACATCCCTCCTATGGACATCTTCCAGACATCTGTAAATCCGGAACTACCCTGAAAACACGGAGGATCATTTTGGGACATCAGGACAAGGCCCAACGAGGGATCACACCCACACATACTACCGAACAGCTTGTAGCGATGTCTTCTTCTTCCCCAGCTGGACATCGGATTGTGTTTGTTTTGGTTTTTTTTGGATGGATGACCACTAATGGACTTGGAATCTCGTCGCGGGAGCCAGGTGAGTACATAATCGCAGCAAACTTTTCTCACCAACACCTTCTCTTCCAGTGCTCGTCGTGGGTCGCTTGTAGGTCCGTTCTTACTGCTTCAAATCCCTCGCGTGATATATTCCTGACCGAAGGCGGAGCCGACCTAGTCCTCGTACAGGATCCTTGGGTAGTAGGAGGCAAGGTTGCTGGACTAGGAACAAAGGAATACAAGCTAATGCTTGACCCCAAAGAAGGTAAAATTCGAACCTGCATATTAGCCAAAAGGCATCTTAGTATATTTCCAAGCCATGTAGGTATAGCTGGTAATGAATTCGCCGATGAAGCTGCTAAAGCATCTACAATTTCCCCCTTAATAGCTTCAGCAAACATAAATAAATTAGATAGGAATAGATATTTAAAATCAACACTGCTTAATTATTTACCACACCTGATTAATAAAACCTCCACTTGGTATCAAACAATTAATGTCAGCCATCTTAACATTGCAATGTCTCGGTCTCATACATGTTGTTCCCTATCCTTGACTTGACTTGATACTTAACAAATTTCTTCGCGAATTTGGCATTATAGTTCTGGCCGAAATTACTCAAAGTAAAGTTCTTCCGGTATACTTCCTGTCCGACTGCGAATCGTACATTTCGTGACCTCCGGTTGTACACAGCTGCGCTTCTTTTGTATGCCTTGTTTGAATTCTTCTGAATTTCTTCGCGCATCAGGACGATCTTAGATTCTCTTGGCAGAACATACAGTTCATTGTCTTTTAATGCCTTCAAACGTCTCGCCAGTTGGTAATCTGCCCCGTTGGTGAACATATTTTGCCCAAACAGAGCGAAATATGGAGATACTCCAGTAGCCTGATGAACCGCTCCTCTGAGCGCACACTCAATCTCCGACAGATACAGATCCCAATCTCGGTGATTGTCCTCTAAATAGGCTCGAATTGCATTTAGAACAGACTGGTTGACTCTTTCCGCCGCATTTGACTGAGGTGAGTAAACAGCGGTCCGAATGTGCTTAACTCCATATTCCTTCAGAAATTCCGAGAACTGCTTGGAAACAAATAGTTTCCCGTTATCGGAATGTAACAATTCCGGAACCCCAAACTTGTTAAACACCTCCTGCCTTAAAAATCGAATTACTCCCGCAGAGGTTGCTTCCCGCATGCCTTTAAGGAGTGCGAACTTCGAGAAATGATCAACTACTATGAACACATATGACTTCCCTCCTCGAGACCTCGGATACTTTCCCAGAAAATCGATGTATATTTTCTGGAATGGCCTAAGTGTAACCACTTCATCTCGTTTAGACCGCAGAAACACATAGTCTCCATCTCCAACGAGATCTGGGAAACGTTCTTCATGTGATAATACCTCCTTCCTAAACTCAGCGTACTCTGGAGACTCGAATTCTGTCGTCTCGAACCCCAGCAAGGGTTCTAAGTCAATTGACTCTATCATCCTGGAAAGAGTGTCAGCCACTACATTTTCTGAGCCCTTCCTATGTTCTATAACAAAGTCATGGATCTGCAACTTTTACGACCAACGAGCAAGCCGCCCATCCAGGTCCTTTAATGACATCAGCCACTTCAGGCTGGCGTGGTCTGTTATAATAGTCTGAATCGTTTCACTCCGAGGATGGCCGCCAGACATTCCTTTTCTGTGACGCTGTAATTCTTTTGGCATTTGTTCAGCTTCTGTGAGAAGTATTCAATGGGTCTTTCGTTTCCCTGATCATCCAGCTGGAATAGCACTGCCCCAACTCCCGTGTCGGACGCATCGCACTGTATGTAAAAACGCCGTGAGAAATCTGGATGGTTTAGCACGGGCGCCGTTACGAGTGCAGTTTTCAGGGTTTCTATGGCTTGCTGAGCCGCGGGGGTTAGGTGGAATTTCCCACTCTTCTTCAAGGTATTTGTAAGAGGGGCGGAAATTTCTGCGAAATTATGGATGAACCTGCGGTACCATCCTGCTGTACCCAACAGACTACGAACCTCCCGCGGATTTCGGGGAACATTTTCCTACTTCTTTCAAAATGGACAGATGTGATTCGAAGTCTGGGGTTACTATCAGTAGATCGTCGAGATAAACAAAGACTTTCTCCCGTAGTTTGGATGGGATGACCTTATCCATCAACCGACACAGGCTTCGACCCGCGTTACAGAGCCCAAAGGGCATTACGACGAATTGGTATGAAGGCCTTCCAGGGACAGTAAATGCAGTGATCGGTCGACTCTCTTTCTCCAGCTCGATTTGCCAATAAGCATGTTTCAGGTCGACTCTGCTGATAAATATGGTTGAGGCAATTCTGCTTAGGATTCCATCTATGTTTTGAAGTGGATACGCGTCCTTCTTTGTCACTTTGTTCATCCTGCGCGCATCCAAACAAAGCCTATTTTTCCCAGGTTTCATGACCAACGTCACAGGATTGTTCCAAGCACTTTCAATTTCCTCGATGACGCCTAGTCGCAACATCTCATCCACTTCAGCATAGACCACCGCCTGTTTTGCCGGAGACATCGGATAGTGCCTTGACTTCACTGGTACCTCTCCTTCTTCCAGTTCTATCCTGTGCTTTAGAAGCTTAGTTCGTCCCAATCCAACCTTTTCGTAAGAAAGAAACACTCCTCGGACTTCAGCGAGTCGGGATTCCTGGGACGCCGATAGTTGATGACGCTCGGGTTCGACAGTTGTAACTTCCTGCGACTCTACCAATTCCTCGACGCCACCTCCAAATAGTTCCGGAGCAATATTGAACTCCTTCCAAAAGTCTACCCGCAAATACAACTGTTGCTTTAAAGCAGGACATAGATACAAACACATGCTGGCCTCCCGTCCCCAGAAAACCACTCTCACAATGACCTTGCCTAGTATCCGTTGATCTTCGCCGTTCGCTGTCTTCACGTTTCCCCTGTATGGTAACCAATCCAATCTAAGTCGATCCACCAACTCCTGGCAGCCGGTACCTAAGACGCTAATAGAAGCTCCGGAATCCAACAGTCCTTGGATCTCCTGATCTGCTATAGTCGCTATCGTCGTTAGTATACTTAAGGGATTCTATTTGTGATATCGTGCGCTGGACCTCCTGCCATTCCATTTTCCTCTTTTTGAAGCGCTGCCTGGCCTTGTGAATCCGTTTGGTTACAGCTGTCATTCCCTCCAGTTGGTGGTCCTTAAAAATGCGTTCCCGAGCCTCCTTGTATCGACGCCATCTCTCCTCCAGTGGTATAGCCAGTCTTCCTTGCCATTCCACCCTTGATCCTGCGTTTACTTCGCACGACTTTGGGTCATTGGGGTTACACCGACCGGCTCCCGTCCGGAACGCAACTCCACTGGGTTTATTACGTTCCCCTTCGAGTTTCCCGGATTGCAGTTTGGGCATTTAGGCGTCAACGTGTCGGCTCGCCCGCATTTGAAACAAAGGTAGGACTTTTGCGGTGTTTCACATTGCTTGTAGACGTGCCCGGCTTGTTTGCAGTTCCAACATACCACGGCTTTCCGCTGGCTGACAGATTGGATGACCTCTACTAGTCCTCCCTCGCTTTCATCTTCGACTACTGTCCGGAAATTCTGGTCTGGAATGCTACTGTACTGGACTTCGCCTACTCTCTGCCCTCGAAATTCTAGTCGTCTGGGGGGTACCGCTCGTGGTGTCTGTCTGGCTCGTCCCACTTCCTCCGCGAAAGCTCTTTTGGCTTCTCGACATTCGTCTCTGAGATGCTCCAAGGTGTATGCCCGAATCGGAAACACGTACTGCTTCAAGGGCTCGCACAGATTACGCTCGACGGTCTTCCATCATCCATTCTTCCGTAATTGGTAACCGCACCGCAGCCCTCAGTCTTCGCACCGCGTGGAAGAAAGAATCCAGAGACTCTCCTGGCATTTTCCTCTGCTCACTCAGGTCCTGGATCCTCTCATAGTCGCATCTAGTGTCGCTATACCGACGCTCAATAGCCGTCCGCAATTCCATCCAGGTTGCTATGTTGTTAGTACGGACTAGCAGCCAATACCATTCCGCCGCACCGTCGACCACCAAGCGGTGAAAGTTTCGGATAAGATCCGCCCAAGGCGTGCCATAATGCTGCCTTAAGTGCTCGACTCGAAATATAAATTCTTCCGCACTCATCCCATCGGAGGTTCCAGAGAACTGTATCCCCCATTTGTGCACTGGGACACAGTGTCCTCGTTGAGAATACCCGTAGACTTCATGATTCCGCCGAAGAGTCCCTTGACGCCCTTCCGTGTCTCTTGGTTGATGGCTTCCACTGGAAGAGGAACCTGGTCGGAAGTGTATACCTTCCTGTTGAAGATTCTGCTGATAACTCGACGGACCGATTGGCTGACGTTGTCTAGTAGGGCCAGGATTTGCTTCCGGGTCATTCCTGAATCGGTTTTGTATTGTCGGCTGATTCGCAGGTTGACGACTTCCAAAATGACCGCCCGCAGGGAGTCCCTGAGACCTAATTGATGGTTCTGACCCCCCCGATAGAGATGTTTTCCTCTCGACCTGCCTCATCAACTCAGCAAAGCCTTCTTTGATATTTTTGTCAATCTTGTCGCCGATAAACCGTTCCATTTCAGCTCGAAACTGGTTTTGGGATTCTACCACAAAGTTCCTCAAATCGCTACCATGGGCATGGTTGTCGACTCCTTTGAGGCTATACTGTTCTTGGATCGGATCTAGCTGGATGTGTGAAAAAGTCGGTATTGGTGTGAAGTTGTCGCCAAGCTCTAATCTTTTTGGGTTTCCCACCCGGTTTAGAGTGTGAAACGGCATTGGTTGCAGTGGGGGACAAGTGAATGATCCTGCGTTCCCTACAGGGGTCTTAAGGTTCCCGCAATCTTCCATATTATTTCCATTCTTACCCATTTTAATTTGATGATTTATTTCTTCAAAAATTATTAATTCGTAATTTTTTCTTTCAGGAAACAGAAGGGGAAAGAACTACTATAAACTGTCCCATACTCTACGGTGAACTAATCTGCGGCGCTATTTCTCTAATGGACTGTCCTCGACCTTGGAACATGATAACAACATTTAACGTTTAACACAAAGCAATGACAGAGTCGGCTCTTTCCAACTTCGACTCAGTCGAAGTTTGGGAGTCAAGGGTGTCATTTTATTTAGTAATCAAAAATCCAAGTTTCTTCACTCGCCATCATCCCATCGACCTCTCAATACATCTTAACCGCCGTTCGTCAGTCAAGGACACCGAGGAATCATCCAGAAGCTTCTGAGACTCCTGTTCTTAAGAAACTCAGGACTCCGGATTTCGGTTGTATTGGCGACTGCCTGAAGAAAAAGGATCTTTTTACGTCCCCCCGACTGTTGCTCCTGTATCTCGATCGCAAATCTTCCAGTTTGCTTGGACCAGCTGATGTCGTCGAGAAAGGAAAACAGTACAGAACGTTTTCTTTCTTTTCTTACTTTCCTAATCCAAACTTTATTTCTCGTCTTTCCCCCAGATCTTTCTGCTGTTCGCCTACCGGTCAGACGAGGACTTCAAAAAGATCTATGGGAAGAGGAAAATCCTGTTGGAGCCTGGTGCGTTGCCATTTTTATTTGACATTGGGCGCCAATATTGTTATGTCCCAATATAGGACTACGTGTTTCCGCGAGTGGGCAGCGCCGGCTAGCTCTAGAGCACTTGGGGTGTGGGTACTCCAACCCTGCCCACACACACGCAACAATAAACAAACAGATGTTTGTACTTCACAACACTTCACGCTGCAACAGCTGTCTTATGGCTGGACCAAAACATTGACGAAATATGCGAAACTATAAAACTAACACAACACGTGATTATCACAAAACTAATTCCCCGACTTCTTCCTTTCTAGGTCACAGGACGCCATCAGATATATTGTGTGCTTTTGGGGGCAAACCCAAAGCCTCTGCGCTCCCACCCAACCGTAGCAGCCGTAGATGTCTCCGACTTGAACCGGTCACCGTAAGACACCTTGGAACCGTTTACATGTTCCCTCCCCTCTCTTAAATTATTTACAGGGCTTCAGCTTCCCGTAAGGAAACCCATCAACCACCGCCCGCCGGGTGCAACAGTCACACCAAGGCATTTACGTAGACGGGTAAACTGGTCTGTTTTTTTTATTTCGGTCCCTACCTAAAAGAGCTCTCTTAAGCGGATCCCAGACCCGAGGATAACACACGAACCTATTCGACGCGGTCGCTGGAGAGGATTCCCCGTGGGATTAACAAGTGCTTGGCTTTGACGGTTTAAATGTCAAGCCTCGCCCAGAAGGAGCGCTAAATTGCAAAAACTAACAGATACAAATGTGAAAAAACACTCGCTGTGAATTGTTCACATCCGGCAATAAACAGTTTAAAATTTGTGATATAATAAATAAATAATAGTGCAATATGGGTAGTATATATGTGCAATATATATAGGTTAATTTTTAAGTGTTATATAAGATCCCCTCCCCCAACAAATTTTATATGAAAAGAACATAAATAATTAAATAAACAAATAACTAAATAAATTAAGGGACAACACAACATAAAGATAAAAGGGTTATTTCGCGTTAAGCCGCCGATCTTTTCCAGGTCCGGTTGGTGACGTAATTCCACGTGCTGTTACGCGCAATCGAATCCTCCACCGAACTCTGGGGAGGATTATGCCCCCTCCTGGAGTAAATTCTCCACGCGCGGGGATGACTTCTCGCAGGCACGACGGGTTCTTCCAGGCAGCTAGCGGCTGGAGGCACCGGACTCGCCGATGACGTAACCTCCGGCCGAGAACCGGGGTTGCTCCAAGAAAGAACTTGGCCAGGCCCTAATTAATGGAACCTGGCCACTACCTTCCTCGTCTCTTCTCGCTGGCCTGAAATGGGATTTCTATTGGACTCTTCTTTTCCCCCCCACTAACCGGAACGCACTCACCGTAGGGTCTTGACCAGTCCGGCTTCAGAGACCGTTCTCCGGCGTCCACGACCGGCGAAAACTTTGCGAGGCGGGCTCACTCCTTTTTATACCCGTTACTCGTAGAGTAAAAGGGTATACTAGATTCGTCGGAAAGTATGTAACAGGCAGAAGGAAGCGTTTCCGACCCCATAAAGTATATATATTCTTGATCAGGATCACTAGCCGAGTCGATCTAGCCATGTCCGTCTGTCCGTCTGTCCATCTGTCCGTCTGTCCGGATGAACGGTGAGATCTCGGAAACTATGGGAGCTAGGCTATTGAGATTTGGCGTGCAGATTCCTGAGCTTCCTACGCAGCGCAAGTTTGTTTCAGTAGACTGCCACGCCCACTCTAACGCCCAGAAACCGCCCAAAACTGTGGCTCCTACAGTTTTGATGCTAGATAGAAAATTTTAACTGAAATGTAATGTTCTCATCAATATCTATCGATTGACCCGAAAAAAAATTTGCCACGCCCACTCTAACGCCCATAACGCTTAAATCTGTATACCGCCGGTAGGTGGCGCATTTTAATCTCGCTTTGCTGCTTGCATATCTCCATTTAGCTGAGTAACGGGTATCTGATAGTCGAGGTACTCGACTATAGCGTTCTCCCTTGTTATTTATCGGTACTGCGTTCGAAATTTTGGCTGAACTTGTCTAGGCGCTGATGGCCGCTTGAACACCACGACCGCGTGAGGAGATTGCTAATTCACCGAACCCGCTGCGACTGCGCGCCGCCGACACCAAATCTGAACTGATCTAGTGTCGGCCATTTTCCTTCCGCCAACCCATGCAGATTACGGACCTCTGTTCCCTGCATTCTGGGTCAATGTCCCTATAACCTACATTTGTCCGGTTTGAATTTGAATTCGCCCCCGAACTGACTCCAATTTACACATTGCCCATCACTGGAAACCCTAAACCCACTTTGCATCCCTGGTTTTCTCGATTAATCGATTACTGAGGGATGGCGACATAACAAGTTTCGTTCACTACACGGATCGGCGAGAAATGTGAATAAAGTAATATATATATGTGATTAGTTAGTGTGACTCACGGCATTTCCTCCAACGTTGAAGATCGATCTCCGGACGGAATGGGTTGGCTGTAATCTAAAGGGTATCGATATTTCTCGCCATGTAGAATTTAAAGGGCAAATAAACATTTCTCTCATTTCTCTTAGACGCGCGAACGATTTAAACCAAACTTGTAACCCGTACCTAATTCATCGTACTTCCTTGAATGCTTTGCAATAAAAAAGTTCTCATTTAAACCTAAAAAAAATCTAGCTCTTCTTAAATTAAATTAATGCTTCTCGGAGTGCATTATCTTTTTTGACCCGATCGACTTGTTAATTTCTTTTAATTTGTTAAATATAACTATCGCTTTACATAGCGTTGCCACTTGAGGCTTTACGAAAAATTATTGTTTTGTTTTATGGTTTATATATCTTTGATTTCATTGATTTTCTTTTCACATTAATTCTTTAATTCGGTTTTTCAAAGCGCGTTGGTTATATAACAGGGTTAGGACTGATCCAATACGAAAGAGAGTTTTTATCTCCATTAAGGTTAAAAACGGTTGGCTAGTGTGCCACGCTAGGTTAAGACCGTTCACACACGCGGCGCTTTTGCAACATAAACGCGTATAAATCCCTAAATCTGCGGCAGCGATATTACACTCGGGAACCTCCCAGACGGATACGCGCACCCCTTAAAACTCGGCTGGTGTACGGATGCGCGGCATGATGGGCATCGGGACAGGTTACATAATTGAATTAAAATGCCATCGGTTCCGCTCTAGGTAAAACTGCACTTTTGGCAGGCACTACATGACCCGTAGATAGGTAGGTAGTAGATAGGGGTGCTTCAGGGCACTAGTCTCTCCAAATCATTCCTCGCGGGCCAAACTGACGATTGGGCATTCAAATTAATTACAGACAGACAGACCAGACAGACAGGACAGACAGACGACAGAACAGACAGACAGACAGACAAGACAGACAGACAGACCAGACAGCAGACAGACAGACAGACAGACCAGACAGACAGACAGGACAGACAGACCAGACAGACAGACAGGACAGACAGACAGACAGACAGGACAGACAGACAGACAGACAGACAGACAGACAGACAGACAGACAGGACAGACAGACAGACAGACAGACAGACAGACAGACCAGGACAGACAGACAGACAGACAGACAGACCAGACAGACAGACAGACAGACAGACAGACAGACAGACAGACAGACCAGACAGACAGGACAGACAGACAGACAGGACAGACAGACAGACAGACAGACAGACAGAACAGACAGACAGACAGACAGACAGACAGACAGACAGACAGACAGACAGACAGACAGACAGACAGACAGACAGACAGACCAGACAGACAGACCAGACAGACAGACAGACAGACAGACAGACAGACAGACCAGACAGACAGACAGACAGACAGACAGACAGACAGACAGACAGACAGACCAGACAGACAGACAGACAGACAGACCAGACAGACAGACAGACGACAGACAGACAACAGACAGACAGACAGACAGACAGACAGACAGACAGACAGACAGACAGACAGACAGACAGGACCAGGACAGACCAGACAGACAGACAGACAGACAGACAGACAGACAGACAGACAGACAGACAGACAGACAGGACAGACAGACAGACAGACAGACCAGACAGACCAGACCAGACAGACCAGACAGACAGACAGACAGACAGACAGACAGACAGACAGACAGACAGACAGACCAGACACAGACAGACAGAACAGACAGACAGACAGACAGACCAGACAGACAGACAGACAGACAGACAGACAGACAGACAGACCAGACAGACAGACAGACAGACAGACAGACAGACCAGAACAGACAGACAGACAGACAGACAGACAGACAGACAGACAGACAGACAGAACAGACAGACAGACAGACAGACAGACAGACAGACAGACAGACAGACAGACAAGACAGACAGACAGACAGACAGGACAGACAGACAGACAGACAGACAGACAGACAGACAGACAGGACAGACAGACAGACCAGACAGACAGACAGAACAGACAGACAGACAGACAGAACAGACAGACAGACAGACAGACAGACAGACAGACAGACAGACAGACAGACAGACAGACAGACACAGACAGACAGACAGACAGACCAGACAGACAGAACAGACAGACAGACAGACAAGACAGACAGACAGAACAGACAGACAGACAGACAGACAGACCAGACAGACAGAACAGACAGACAGACAGAACAGACAGACAGACCAGACAGACAGACAGACAGACAGACAAGACAGACAGACAGACAGAACAGACAGACAGACAGACCAGACAGACAGACAGACAGGACCAGACCAGACAGACAGACAGACAGACAGGACCAGACAGACAGACAGACAGACAGGAACAGACAGACAGACAGACAGACAGACAGACAGACAGACAGACAGACAAGACAGACAGACAGACAGACAGACAGACAGACAGACAGACAGACCAGACCAGACAGACAGACAGACAGACAGACGACAGACAGACAGCGACAGACAGACAGACAGACAGACGACAGACAGACAGAAGACAGACAGACAGACAGACAGACAGACAGACAGACAGACAGACAGACAGACAGACAGACAGACAGACAGACAGGACAGACAGACAGACAGACAGACAGACAGAACAGACAGACAGACAGGACAGACAGACAGACAGACAGACAGACAGACAGACCAGACAGACAGACAGACAGACAGACAGGACAGACAGACAGACAGACAGACAGACAGACAGACAGACAGACAGACAGACAGACAGACAGACAGACAGACAGGACAGACAGACAGACAGACAGACAGACAGACAGACAGACAGACAGACAGACAGAACAGACAGACAGACAGACAGACAGACAGACCAGACAGACAGGACAGACAGACCAGGACAGACAGACAGGACAGACAGACAGACAGACAGACAGACAGACCAGACAGACAGACAGACAGACAGACAGACAGACAGACAGACAGACAGACAGACAGACAGACAGACAGACAGACAGACAGACAGACAGACAGACAGACAGACAGACAGACAGACAGCAACAGACAGACAGACAGACAGACAGACAGACAGACAGACAGACAGACAGACAGACAGACAGACAGACAGACAGACAGACAGACAGACAGACAGGACAGACAGACAGACAGACAGACAGACAGACAGACAGACAGACATGACAGACAGACAGACAGACAGACAGACAGACAGACAGACAGACAGACAGACAGACAGACAGACAGACAGACAGACAGACAGACAGACAGACAGACAGACAGACAGACAGACAGACA